GGGTTTTCAGTGGGTGGGTTCATGATCTAAGAGAATTGCTGTTTTCCTAAAGAATAATGGATAGCACATTAATGTGCACCATAAACAGAGATTATTTTCAAAACAAAGCGTTGTACAAATGAAATGTTTAACAGTAAAGAGCATTGAAGATAAATTTTAAAAGCATTTGAGTCATATGTGTTGAGATTGTTTTAACGTTGAGTGAGAAATTGAGCTATTGTTAATAGTTTTTTGCCTCATGGTTCTGTCTTGGACAAAGGACTTGAATTTTCGTCTGGAATTCTTTGACCTAAAATTCACGGTAGTGTTTAAGTTTTAGATCAATAAGATAATTACGGAATTTAAAAAAAATCTACACTTCATGCTGTTAGTAATGACTATTATGATTTACTATTACAACCATTTCACCACACAGAGGAAGAAATGACGTTTCAAAACAGATCAGACTTGCTCACAGTCACAGTGGGGTCAGGGTTTCATTCCTATCTTTGCTTTTGTATCTATTGTGAGTTAAGGGGAAATTTTCAGAGCAGATATCAACTGTGCATTTCATAGTTCAGACACGTTTTGTTTCCATTCATCTATTGCCATCCCTCGGGGTCACATCACTTCCTCCCTGTGTTTCCTGTCACCAGCCCTCCTGCTTTGCTAACCTTTGGAACCTTGTCTTTGGGTAAATGCTGCCCTTTTGATCGTAATGGTGGATTATTATAACATACATGCCTGAACTGAAGGGTGAATAGAAGTTATAGGCTTTGGGTTCTAGCAGTCTTGATCAGACAGCAAGCCTGGTCTCTTCTGAATTTGAGATCTGTCCACAGTTTTCTCCCATTCTATCCAGGACCTGCTGATGTGATCCTTTCAGAGAAGTTCGTAGTGGCAGACAGGTACCATCTAGTTCTGATTTGGGGAATGTTGAGAGTGATGTTTCTACGGTCCATTCGTACATTGGATCATTTCCATGTGTCCTTTGATTTTCATCTCTCCACTTTACTTCCATATGGGAAGAGACCACCGAGATGACCACTCACAAGCTTTTAAGACCCCAGTGGTAGAATGGAGAAGACTGTCTTTGTGTACTATGTTTTGAAAATTGATATCGGTGTCCCCTAAAACCGTGGTTTGATTGCCCAGAACCAGCAACTCATTCCCTCACGGTGTTTGGTTATTTCTAAGAAACTTCCATAGCCTTGCCCCTACTATGCTCTACCACATTCATGAAGATATTTGCTGCAGAGTTAATACACATATATGAATATCTCCTGTCAAATCTATACATATTCACAAGTATAATATGCCTTCTGTCCCTCCCATCCCTGTTTAGTTTGCATGTTTTTCCAAGCATATATTCATAGATCAACACTATTGGAGTAGTGTCTACAAATGTGTTTACCTCAGTTGTCTTTAAAACATTTAAATCTTCCTCGTATCTTTTAATTTTGCACAATTCTTTCATCACACAGTAAAGATCCACATGGTGCCACAATCTTTACACAACATTTTCGTTTTCCCTTCTGGATTATCTTACCTGGCACCTGCCATTTGCGCAGATATCTGCTCCCTGATATCCACAAGAAGTTCCATCCATCACTTTTTCTGCCAGAAGAATAGGCTGTTCTTTTCCAACAGGGGAGCAGAACAGGGCACATGGTTTTTCTACATAAAGAGTGAATAAAAATAAGTGAG